CCTGTAAACTTATACAATTAAAAATGGGAAAAGAACAAACTCATAAACTTCATACAAAAATTGAGAAATTTTTACCTTCAAAGTTTCACCCATATCTGTTTTACTTTCAGCATTTCCAAGATTCACATTCGGGACACTAAAATCTCCATTTTTGGAGTTGACTGAGCTTTCTGAACTTTTTGGAACCAAATCTTCTTTCTTTTCTTTTTGTTCTGTTGCACCCGTAACTGAAGATCCATTACTTAAAATGACATTCATTTGGGTCTCGTTTTGTACATTTGAGGATATTTGGGTCTCTTTTGGTGCATTCAGGGGTATTTGGGTGTCTTTTGGTACAACACTGGAACCATTTCTCATTGGAATCTTTTGGGTCTCTTTTGATACACTGAGGCCATTACTCATTGGAATCTTTTGGGTCTCTTTTGATACATTGAGGCCATTACTCATTGGAATCTTTTGTGTCTCTTTTGATACACTGAGGCCATTATTCATTGGAATCTTTTCTTTCTGATGAACAGCATCTGTAGTTTTCTTTGATGGAAAACTCTTTTGATCACGGAAATAAAACAACATGTAGGCTTTCTGCTCAAAAACCTTCTTTTCACTCACTTGATATACACGATTGTCATCGAGTGAATACCACATGCCACTAGATGTCCTAACAAAGCAATAATAGTGCCCAGAATGTGTACTCCAACCAGCATGAACCAAAACCCCATATAGAGTGTACTTCAAATCCCCATCCTGTAATGTAATAAAAGGCTTGTTAAATGCAAAAAAAAACATCAATCTAGTGTCATGTCTTTCTATTATGTTGCTTTTTCTTGAATTTACACTAACAAAACCAAGAAAAGAGATGAACTTGACTTACATATGGACCAGTGACAAAAGGTTTTAAGTCCAAAGTAGAACCGAATTGGATTTTCTTGTCAATCTTTTGGCCTGACATATGGGAACCAAATCTTTTAAGGTGAACAGTGAGGACATTGGGAGCTTTATGAACTGTAAGCTGTTTTAAAGCCTTGACTTTTTGCTTGCACTGTAGGCATTGATACTGTTTTGCCCCTCCATCTAATTGTTCTTTAGCAGTGAAATTTGCAAAAGCTTTATACAAAGTGTCTGCTCTCAATATCTCCAGGCTTAAATCCAAGAATGGATCGAATTTGTTAGAGCAATAGTTACACTGCATGCATTTCACCTGAAAAATCAACACTTTGTTGTAACAGGAGCTTTCTAGGACTATTTTCAATGATGAAGATGAGAAGGGCATTTCTGTCTTTTGCACAGAAAAGCGAGATTATTACCTGACTTCGGAGGCGACCACCAAATATCTTGTGGACTAAACTTTTATCATAGGCGCTTTGTGATTCACTAGGGACTCCTGTAGGTAAGCAACATTTGTGCATTGATTCCAATAAATTTACCATGTATTCATGAGCATCCTCTTGCCTTGAATTCCTAAAAGTCCTCGATATGCCTAATTATATAGTCAAGGATGTTCAAAGAAATGAAGGGAAATGTATAAAACAATATAACTTCATGAGAAAAACCTCATTTATTGACTTTCTCTATTGAGTTGTTCTTTCTTGCATAACATTCATGTATAGCTTATTGGATCAAGTGTTGTAAGTTCAAATAGATAAAGTGATAAAGATATCATCTCTTTGAAGTTTGCAATCAATCAAGAAAGTGGTGAGCATAAACTTATAGAAGGATACAACGCAAATTTGAAACAAGATCCTTGGGTGCTAATGATCTCCCTGAAGATTGTAGTGCACGGCTGACATGTTTTTGGATAGCACACAATGCACAAAATCCAGCTTTTTGACCTTCATAAAGTAAATGGAGAAATCGGTTATCTCACAATGGGTATCCATGTTTGTGATTGTGAGTGTCTATTTATTGAAGGGAGATAGAAGTGAAATATTTACAAGTAACTTGGTGCTTTCCACTTTGTAAATACGCAGCTAAAGGCTCGGTGTATGTTAAACATTGGAGTACTGAGTTGAGGAAGCAAGTATTCCCAAGGTTCTCCAAACCAGCACCCTATAGATAGTTTAAGACAAGTGTTAAAGACTATTTGTCAAATATCTAAAGACACATCAATAATGACAAAAAAAAATATAAACTTTATGTCCTAAAATCAAGAATCAACAATTCTACAAGTATCCTAATTTAAATGGTTTTAAAACATCCAAACTATAACAAGTGTATACAATTCTCTTTTGCAACAGAAAAAGTTGTTATTAAAAGAAGTCTAGATCGAGTATTGCAACCCATAACACTTTCCATGTATTAAGGAGAATGTCATTTGATGAATTCTGATGCAAAGTATTCAGACACAATTCCAGCAACAACTTATGCATTATATATAAAAACAAACTGAGCCCGTTAAATAAAGATCAAACTTTCTTAAGCTATGTGGCAACTAATATACATGATGAAGAAAAAATGAACAGAAGTCAGCAACATCATAAAGCAAAAGCCATTAACGTACTTTTATGGAAACAAGAGAAGAATTATAAAGATCTTATGGAACTTATTGCAAAAATACATAAAAGTTGAACATGGATGATAAAAAAACAAACGATTATAAAAGTATATAACCAAAAGTTACAAAAGTCTGTGTAGAAAAGGCAAAAAGTAACATGGAAACGAGATAATTCATGGCCAAGCACAAAAGTATGAAACCCCAAATGACCACCGACAGATGAACTACAAGTATCCTAAATCAATAAACGTTGCAGTCTAAGGAACCTACGTTTGTCAAATGTACGATAACCATATTTGCAGTAATTGGCTCTAGTATGTGTTATCACTTTTTGCTTATTCAACTATTTGAATACAAAATCTCATATGCTTATGGAAACAAGGCTGAATTTGAATAGAATTATAAATTATATCCTTCCACAGAAATGAAGAAACTTACAATTCTCCGAAAAGTAATTCCAAAACTGAGTTCTGGATCCAAACCGTTTCCCAACTCCGATGCATCTCTTTTCTTACCCGAAGACCCACCACCAACACTATCCAATCCGACGCCCTGCTGATTCCCATACGTATTATTCGAGCTCGTGGAGGTAGGATTGAGAGTTTCGAGCCGAAAACTCCCATCGCCGCCTCCTTTAGTGAACCCGGTGAAGGGCTTCCTGGCTAGGTGAAACTCAATCCTTCTAAAAGGAGATTTATCCACCGGAGCTAAAGATTCAGTCGATTCACCACCTGGGTTTTCACGATTAATGGGTTTTTGAGTGACGATAGTATTCTTATCAATCAAGCTCAAAGTTTCGGCCATGATAGATTGTATCGATTCAAAAGTGTGGTTTAAACACTGGAGATTGATGTGTTTCTATTGACATATAAATGGATCGATTGATTTGGGGATTGTGCCTGTGGATCAAACGCAAGAAAAACAGCAAGGAGGGGCTTAGGTGTGGGAGAAAGAGAAAGAGCTGTTAAGCGGAACCCAGTCTATTAAACCCTACTTCCCACCGAGTGTGTGAACACACACGTGTACCTCTAACACGGTTTCTAGGGTTTGCATTTTGGATCGGTAAATTGGACCTTATGCTCTTTGGAATTAATATTTTGATAAATAAACAAGACAAAATTGTGAGTATGTTAAAAACGGGATAATTATAGTAAAATCCTTATATTTTGGCAAAAGTTTCAAATAGGTCCTACAAAATAAATGAATGAAAAAGCCCAATAAACTGAATAATTTAGTTCTTATTATCCGGTGACCCTCATTTTCCCAGTTAAAAAAGTCTACGTGGACTGGGCATGCTTAGGTGGACTTAACGAAACTTAAATATATACATCATTCGTTCCTTTCGTGCCCTAAAATCGGACCAGGCGAAAATCGAAGCAGGAGGAGGAGCTACCAATGTCGTCTTCATCTTTTGTAGGAAACAGAGGTTCAAATCGAAGAGTGATGAATCGACTGAGAAGCATGTGCTTTATGATGGAGTTCGTGGACTCCCTTTAACCCAGGAAGAAGGTTTATAAGTTGCCCAAATTACCAGGATGCACTTAAAGCCTGCAAGTTCTTCCAATGGGTGGATCCTCCTCTACCAAATCAGTGGTATGCAAATCTCTTACTAGAATTTCACAACAATGTTAATTTAGAGAACAATGCAATTTTCGGGGACTATGGACAACAACAAGTTGAAGGGAACTTTTTTGAGGACATTGTGGAACAACCAGTGGCAAATCAACCCGTGGAAGGAGTGGTCATTCAAGTCCATAATGGAGAAGAAGGTGGAAAATGGAAATCTTTTTTTTTATGTGTTCATGGTTTCTTTTGTTTTTGTGTTGGTGATGTTGAAGGATTTGTAGGATAGACAGAAGATGTATGGAAAATAGTGTGTTGGTGTCTTTTATGTGTTTTGATTGTGTTTTGGTGTCTTTTAGGATAGACAAAAGATGTATGGAAATCATGTTGTGTCCTTTTGTCAAGTGAAATGAATTAACAAGTTTATGTTTATGTATGAGTCATAAGTGCTTTGAATGTAATCATGAGTGAAAAGAATGGAATGAAAGAATGAATGGAATCATTAATTAATTGAATCAATAAACAATGGAATGAATATAGAATATAATCAAACATGTTTAATAACAATGGAATCAATAATGATTGGAATCATTTATGATTGGAATCATGCATGACCGGAATCAAGTATGGTTGGAATCATGCATCACCGGAATCAATTATGGCAAGAATCAAACATGGTTGTAATCAATTAACATACACAATAGAATCAAATCAAACACAACATAAACATACACAAGTTAATCAAGTTAAAGATGCATTAACCATGTTTATCATAGAACATGTAATATTAACCAAAAGTTTGTACAAAACATAATCAAGGGGACCAAAGCCTATACTTTATATGGCTATCAACAAAAGGAGCTATCAACAAAAGGGGCTATCAACGGTTGCCCAAAGCCAAAAAGTTTGTACATGTTCTTCACAAAAAGGATGGGTTAGAAACACCCTAATCTAGACTAAGTGGGTTGGATGAACTCATCCCCTTCCCATGTTTGACAACCACCAATTTCTTTAATTGTATTTTTGTTATCCTCTCTGAAGTCTTCCTCTTTCTCAATTTTGGCCTCCTACCCATGTCCTCCACAACCAGGCCCTCCTGATCCATACCTTCTTGTTCCATGCCCTCCTCACCTACTCCATTCTCATTGATTCCCTCCTGATCCAACCCTTGTGCACCCATTTCATCCTGATTCAATCCCTCTTGATCCATAACTTCATGTTCCATGCCATTCTCATTGATTCCCTCCTGATCCAACCCTTGTGCACCCATTCCATCCTGATTCATGCCCTCTTGATCCATACCTTCTTGTTTTATACCCATATCCTCTTCAATGATTCCCTCTGGACCCATACCATCCTGATTCATACCTTCTTGTTCCATGCCCTCCACATCCATGCCCTCCACTGTGACATCCCCAAAATCACGGCCAGAAAAGACCGGTTTTGTTTATACTTTATTTCAAAATCAGAGTTATCTTTTAATAAAAGGGTTGCGGAATTTGTCCCAAAACAATAATATGATAAAGATTTATCAAAAGCATTTCCATAGAAATGTATTTCATTAAAAGACTCGGGATGTCATGTTCGTACAGATCAAAAGTATAAACAATACAATATAAGCCTTACTACATTATTTCATATCTACAGGCCTATATCCGTAATCCCTCGTCCAAAACATCACACCTATGCTCATGCGCCACTACCTGTAATGCATAAAACTGAGTGGGTCAGGCTTGGGAGCCTGGTGAGCACATAGGGTTTTCAACCCACAATAAGTTTATTAATTTCATCAATCAACAATAACCCGATTACCCGTTCCCGTTATCCTCACTTTACGTCCCTAAACACCTATCATAAGGGACCTAGCCTAAGGATCATCATCGGGACGGACACTACTGCTAAGGGGATTCCTCAGCAATAAATGTCCTAATAGGCAACCATGTGGGGGATGGAGTACACCGGTGAACACATCGTTCACAACACCTACAGGTTGCGAGCCTGCTAGTGTTCCACTGGACTGTCTAGAAGAGTCCGTGGTCGTCATCTATACTCCGCTAGATGACTGGATCAACAACAACAACATCGAGGCCTCTCATCATTTTATCACACATCACCTATTACATCTACCCATGTTTTACCCCAACATTTTCGTAGATATAAAATACATATACAGTTTAAATCATTGAAAACATGTATAACAACGTTCATCTAGCATAGATAGCAAGTATTCAGATAATATGCACACATAGCACGTAATTTATATAAAATACTTCATATCTATGTGTAAGTTGAAGGTAACTATGCACTCACCGGAAAAGGTGGTGATTCCGAACTCAGACAGCGCTTCGCTTCTTAAAAAGAATTTTTCTTCGACGAAACCTAGTATTATTACCACTAGAGTTTAGTTTATTATTCGTCGAGACTAATTAATAGTCTAGCTATTATTATTATTATATAAGCGTCAAAAAATACTTATATAACCCATAATAATAGCCCAAGTATTTATTATAAGTTCCTAATAACGTTACTATAATTAAATAAAAGTTATATTAAAAATAGCGTAGGCGTAGCTCACTTACAGCGGGTTTTATAGAAAACCGGGCTTTGCTTGGAGCAGCGTTCCCGAGCCGAAAAGCTCTTCTTCTCAGAGCCTTCGAGCACTCCGGGGCTTCCGCCTCGTGCTAGGGAGGTTCCCTAGGCTTTTCGGGGATTTCGGGGCTAGAGAGAGGTTCTAGAGAGAGAGAGAGAGTAAAGAGAAGAAAGAATGGGAAAGGTGTGAAGAAAATGAGGGTGGGAGAGGTGGTATTTATAGGGTGAAATGTGGCTGAACTTGGTGCCACATGTCACCATCTGGTGGCAAGCCTTGGGGAGAAAGCAATGGCCAAGATTGTGCCACATCACCCATTTTCACAGCACACTTCCGACTTCTAAAATCCGTAACTTTCACATACGACCTCCGTTTTTGACGTTCTTTATATCCACGCGTAGGTAATAATAAGATCTACAACTTTCATTTTGACACCGTCAGCTAATTCTCGACCGATCTTAAATTTAACAGTACAAGGGATTATACTGTTAAACGTCTGCGTAAAATTAATAACTTCTACATACGGACTCTGTTTTTGTCTGTCTTTTTACCGTTGATTTCCTATTAATGAGATCTTCAACTCTCATTTATGTTGCGTAAGCCAAAAACCGCTCGAACTAAAATTCGAGTTTCAGGCCGTGCACTGCTAAGCCGAATCTTAGAAAAATCATAACTTCTTCATACGAAGTCAGATTTGGGCGTTCTTTTTATCGATGTTCTTAGTTTAATATTCTACGACTTTTGTTTATATTGCTAAGGCTAAAAAGTCTTCTATCGTAAATTCACTATTTACGTCTCCCGGTGTCGTGCCGGTTTTGTCGTAAAACTTCGGCGGGCCATAACTTCTTCGTTATAGCTCGGATTTCGGCATTCTTTTATACGCACGGAAACCTTGAGACATATTCTACAACTTTATGTAGAGATATCGGGATTATCTCACACTTTAATTTTGACGCTCATTTTTATTCTTTATTAATTATACATTTATAATTAAATAATAAACACATAAACACACATAATTCACATAATACTCAAATATTTCATATTTATTACTTCAAAAAGAGTTACAATAGTTGACTAGACTATTAATTTGACAAAAATGCTTAGCCCTGAAAACCGGGCGTTACAATTCTCACCCTTAGGATGATTCCGTCCCGGAATCATGCATCAGCAAACAGATGTGGATAGCGACTCATCATGTCATCCTCTGTTTCCCAAGTGAGATTCG